TACTTACTTTGGATTTAATGCTACACCTGCTTTATCAAGACCTATTCCTTCTGTGCATGGATCACGACCAATAGCAAAGATGACCTGAATCAATGAATCAATCAACTACTCAATCAACCAATTAATTAATAAATAATAAATCAATGAATTATTGAATAACTCTTAACGTTATAAAAGTAAAAAAAAAATATATTAAGCAAGAAATTTACAAAAGTATCAGTTCCTAACCACCATGTGCTATCTTTTTGAAATAAAGTTGATTATTATTCAAGAATTATTATTTGAACACTTGAAACCTGTCAAGATGGAACTGTCCTGACATCATCATACATTTGTCATTCCGCASACAACACTTCAATTTGAGTAGAATGCTATGATCTCTGGTTTGTCAATATAAATACTCCCACAGAAACTTCAACAAAATCAAGTTTATAAAGGAATTCAATACTCAGTAATGAAAATGAYTTTCCTGTGTAGATAAAACTAAAGCTTTACAATGTAATACTGTCTTAACACTAACTTACAGTGTTACATTCAATGATTTCTTCCTCTCCAGTTTCTAGCAACTTGTAGTAAACCTTTAACTTGCCAGGTTTTCCTTCYTCAACTCTTTCAACCTTTGTAGGAATGGCAGGTCTTTTGAACTTCACTCCATGGTTTGTCATGTGTTCTCCTATTCTTTCKGCCATTTGCTATATAATAAACAAAACGCAGTTTCCAGTAAGTTAACTTTAATTAGATTGTAGTACACACAACTTTGAGGAATAAATTAATAACTACAGCATAGTGGATTTTTTTCTCATTTTAGGGAAATTTTTATCAGTCGAGCAGCACTCTTTTAAAAAGGTTTTATGATTCAWATGACTTTGGAATTAATCACCCCTTTGTTTTTATTTCATTCCAATGCAGTATGTCTCTTTGCAAGGAAAATTGTTAGCTATAATAGTACTCGATCAATGTTTGGGGAAATTGTCAAATGTACAATGTAATATACTATATGTAGTTTGCTACTTCCGGAAATGGATGCTTTGGAGGCTAGGAATTTATTAGGACCATGTGCTAAACTCCAAGTAAATATCTGCTGGTCATCTCTATCTTAATCAACTCTTGCAATAGAGACACCTTGATATTGCGGACAGTAAAATACAAAAGAAATAACTGTTCAAAGTAGCTAATGTTACTATGGACTCCTCTCGCTAACTGCGGACACTAACTTACGGTCCCAAAGGTGTCCATAATAGCAAGAGTTGACTGTAGTTGGTCAAGAAGTCATCTTATAGTATAGTATAATACAATACAAACCAGTCGTACAATGTACCTGATCAAARCCTCTCAGTAAAATGGACCTAACAATGATAGTYACATCAAGGCCCATACCAGCCAGGAAGCCACCACATTCCARCGAGACATATGACGCTCCAATTAATACTGTTTTACCTGGACAGTACGGCAGGGAGAATAGATCATCACTGAAAGGGAATGTTAATGTTAGTAGTAAAAGTCAGGCATTTTATAGCTCTTAGTTAAACTATGAAATAGTTGACATTGCCTTAAATAGATGTGAGGCAAATTTACATATTGTAGCTAAATTAGAAAAAAGGCACTTTTTTGGACATTTTGAACAACACTACTTTAAAAAGATTTCTGCTCTGTTTCAAGTTTTTTTTATACATTTTTTGAGAGCTCAATCTCTAATTAACTAATTAATTATTTACATACCTAGTAATGCCAAACTCTTTAGCACCAGGGATGTTTGGGTAACGAGGCCTTAGTCCAGTGGCTAGAACAAACTTGTCAGCTGTCATTACCAGTTCCTTGCCTTTTTTATCTGTTGTCTAGACAAAACAGAAAATCATAAAATCAAATCAAATGAAATTGTTCATTCAGTTCATACAGTATAAAAATATATCTAATCTAAGAATATATCTAATGGCAAAATCTGGATTTGTGCTGAATATGGGAATCTTATTACCTTGATAGTGTGATTGTCAGTGAATACACCATAAGCATTCTTGTATGTGACTTTTTTGTCTCTAAGCTGAACTCTATATCCCCAATTTAGTGAGCCAATATGATTCTACAAAATGCAATTTTTAGTGATCTACACAAAATATCATAATAAACTACAAATGCATATCTTTCTTAGTTTCCTATCTCATTTAATTAATTTAATTACTAATACTATTATATATATATTTTATCTATTGAATAAAATAGAAAATTACAGAACAAACTACTGTATTTCCATGATGTAATTTTCACTACAATATTGTTTCGTATGGTCCAGAGGACCACACTCATCAGGTGAAACCAATTACATGACCGTTAAAATCTAAAGGTTTAAACCTTATGGTCCTCTGGACCATACGAAACAATATTGTAGTGAAAATTACATCATGGAAATACAGTAGTTTGTTCTGTAATTTTCTATTTTATTTAATACAGCTCCGACTTTTATATTGTCGTTGAGCACTTTTTTAGTTTTTTGATGAAAGTTTTCATATATATTTTATCTATTGTATATGTATTTAATCTATATTGTTTTACTTAGTGTAATGTAGAGTAGTATAGTTTTTACGGAGGAAGAGCCACCCTGTGGATTTCATAATAAACCATTATTATTATTATTATTATTATTATTATTATTATTATTATAATAACCTTTTTTTGTTCATGTTAACTAACCTGCACACCTTCTCTTAGTGTCTCCCATTGGTGCTCAACTGAAATGAAGAGAAAATCAAGAAATCTTTTATTTGCAATTGAACAGAAAGACAAAATGTGAATTACGTGAGCTGAATATAGGCAGAGATTTAAGTTTTTCAAGCAATTTTACCAATGCCTTAGAATATAATTTTCAGCATTTTATCTTAACAATCAGACATAATATACAGTATACTCCGATGAAGGATTAACGTCAAAAACATTAGTAAGTTATTTCACCTAGAGCAGAGTCACTTGAACCATGAAATAGAAACTAAATACTTAGTTACTAATAGGCACTATTTAGACACTATCACTGAACCAGAACAGTACAAAGAGATTACTTTGATTGTTAAAGTGGTCCCTTGGGTATTGCTTATTGGATCAAATCAACTGTTCTGGTTCAGTGCTAACGACTATTAGGAACTAATAGTGCCTATTAGTTAGTACTTTTTAGTTCTTATTTCATGGTTCATGTGACTCAGCTCTACTTTTTTATGGTGTTAAATTTATCTCTTTACACAACTGTTTCTTTAGAGACACCGACACACCTCACACTAGTTTACCGCTGGTTCCCACCATATACAGTACAATATATATAGTACAGCCTTTTGCACAAATTATGAGACATTTTTATATATATAAATATACCTAACCAAATATCAAAAACACCCAAGAAATTATGGGATACCGTCGCTGATATTTTGTCATGATTGCCTAGCATCAGGTTGTTACAGACAAAATATCAGCGACGGTATCCCATAATTTCTTGGGTGTTTTTGATATTTGGTTAGGTATATTTATATATATAAAAATGTCTCATAATTTGTGCAAAAGGCTGTA